CTGGAACTGTTAGCCAAAATAAACTCTTCCATGTAGTCACTTTTGGTCACGGCGTTTTTAATCATAGCAACATGAATATAAGTTTTGTCTGAAATACCACACAGACCTGGTGGCATAACAATAGGTCCCGATTTTATCAGTTCTGCAGGCTACAAGTCCAGGTGCATCGGGTGTCAAATTCGGCTTCTGGGAAGGGTTCTACTCTACTAAGAATGGGCCGCCTTCTTCCTGTTTCTCACAGAAAGAGAGCTTTTTGGTATTTCTTCCTCTTCCTACAGGATTAGAGCCCTGCCCTCATGACTTCCTTGATTTGTTATTGCCTCCTTGAGGTTCTTTCTCATTGGGAACTCGGCCTTCAATTTACAAATTTGGAGGAATACATTTTAGTGTATAATGCTAGAAAAGGGCAAGAGGGCTGGAGAGATGGCTCAGAGCTTAAGAACACTGGCTGAGGTCCTTCCTGAGTTCAGTTCCCAGCAACCCCATGGTGGCTCACAACCATCTATGAGATCTGGTGCCGTCTTCTGGCGGGCAGTGAGTGATACATGCAGACAGAACACTATGCATAATAAATAAATAAATCTTAAAAAAAAATGGGCAAGAACGTTAAGCTAAAATGACATCCTTACTGCACTGAGAACTGACTGAGGAGACCAAGTCCACTTAGGAACTGAGTGCATGCTTAGGGTCCCTTCCTCTTCACCTTACTGTCCACAGATGGGATCAACAAGACAGATGAGAAGCAGAGCTCTCCCAGAAAGCTGGGTGGTAGCGTATACCTTTAATCCCAGCACTGGGGAAGCAGAGGCAGGACTGGTCTAGAGTTCCAGGTCAGCCTGGTGTACAGAGTGAGTTCCAGGACCATCAGGACTATAGAGAAATTCTGTCTTGAAAATAAAATAGCCGGGCAGTGGTGGTGCACGCCTTTAATCCCAGCACTCAGGAGGCAGAGCCAGGTGGATCTCTGTGAGTTCGAGGCCAGCCTGGTCTACAGAGCAAGATCCAAGACAAGCACCAAAACTACACAGAGAAATCCTGTGTTGAAAAACAAAAACAAACAAACAAAAAAAAAAAAAAAGAAAATTCAAGTAAAAGCTGCACTTCATACCGGAGACATAGAGAGTGCATCATGCATATGAATATATGGAGGTATCCAAACACACTCACCAGAGTTCTGGATGAGCTCAGGATTGGAGAAGAAAGTACCAATTTTATGGACTGTGGTTTCTTTCATGACACACAGGCAAGGGAGATGTCACGTCTAGGGTCACCACAGTGCTGGTCAGGGCCATGTGCAGAGGCTTCATTGTTCTGGTCTCTCTGGTGCACCGTCACCTTGTGAGACCCTTCGAGCACCGCCCCCAGCCTCACTGCCTCTGCTGCTTGGCACATGCGAATGCCTGGGCTGGTTCCTCTGTGGCTCTTGGTGGAGTGGCTGACTCTGAAACGTAGCCAGTTCTGTCTAGTCCAGCTTGGAGCAGACCCTGTGGAAACCATGCTAGAAAGTTCTCCCACACTCCACCCTGCTACTTGAATTTTAAAAGTACGATTTTCAATGAAAGGTTTTAAATGCTGCAACCCCAACACTGACCTTGATGGATTGCTACACAATGAACACAGGTTCACAGACACACCTGGTGTTTTATAGCTCCAAGCAAGAGAACATTCCAGCCCCAATGTTGCTCTTCTTGGTGGTTGGGGTCTAGACTGGGACTTCCCAGGTTCTGACCTTACTCAAGAATGAAGTAAAGCCCCAGATTGCCAAGCAGGAAGAAAACTTGAGGTGAAGCAGTAGTATAGAATTCACATCAAGACAGACAGCAAGAGAGGGTGGATAACTGGAGTTGGGGGAGAAGTGTGGGGTGGGTGGATATGATCAAAATACACTGCATGTATGTTTGAAGTCAGTAAAGTACTGAATTTTTCAAGATTGACAGCAGGTCACATGAGTATAGCTAGGCGAGCTGCCAAGCTCCAGGTTACTGCCAGGAGACAAAGAGAAGAGGCTGGCTACTACAGGCCATAGTTTGGATAGCTTTTTATTTTAACATTAGGAAGCAGATATGGCCCAGGAGCTCTCACCCAGTGGGAGGGATCGCAGAATTTAGGCACATCTTGCTTTCTCATATCCAGTCTTGGGACATGTTGCTGGGAACTATTTTTGTTTTTCGAGGCAGGGTTTCTCTGTGTAGTTTTGGTGCCTGTCCTGGAACTCGCTCTGTAGACCAGGCTGGCCTGGAACTCACAGAGATCCACCTGCCTCTGCCTCCGAGTGCTGGGATTAAAGGCGTGCGCGTCCACCGCCCGGCTGCTGCGAACTATCTTAAGCGGTGCAGAGGATGGTTGGAGGACCAGCTGCAGACCTGCTGCTGTTCTGCTCTGGCCTCACTTCCCTGGCCTCACTTCCATCTCATTCGGGACCAACATGATGTAGTCACTCCCTTGGGTGTAACTGCACACTGGCTTCCACTTTTCTCCACATGCCAACTCCATCTGTGTGAGAATAGCCTATTTTGTATATTTTAACATCTATGCCGTTTTGTGCGTTTTAATCTAAAGCCCTCATTCCTGCTGTGTGTTCTCAAATTCATGAGCAATCTAAGGGATAAGGAGCTCCAGCCGCCTCCATTGTTCTCTGTGAGCATCCATTTATGTCATTGTCCTGGACAGTTTTATGTCAACTTGACACAAGCTAGTCATTTAAGAGGAAACCTCAATTGAAAAAATTGTCCCCATAAAAAAGGGGCTAGCCAAGCATGGTGGTGCATGTCCTTAATCACAGCACTTGGTAGGCAGATCTCTGAGCTTGCCAGCCTGGTCTATAGTTCCAGGACAGCCATGGCTACACAGAAAGCCCCGTACCGAAAAATTAAAGAAAACTGTGAGCGTGGGGGAGGGGGAGTGTTGGCTGTAGGTACACAGGTCTGTGGGGCATTTTCTTAAGTAGCAATTGAGAGCCGCCCCCCCCCCCCCCCCCCCGTGGTTGGTACCATCCCTAAGCTGGGTGAGGGTGCTAAAACAGGTTGTGAGAGCCAGTTAGCACTCCTCCATGGTCTCTGTATCATCTTCTGCCTCCAGGTTCCTACCCAGACTTCTTTCCATGATAAAAAATGACATGAAAGTTTAAGCAAAATACACCCTTTCCTCCCCAACTTGCTTTTGGCCATGGTGTTTCGTCACAGCAAGTTCTTTAAGTAAGGTTATGCATGCACATAACCTGACAAAATACCTTATTTTGTCAAGCACAGATGGCTTTCCTATCAGTGTCCCTGAAATGAAATCTGCACTTTGAAAATGTTTCACAGGGACTAGGTTAACTTGGTGGTCTTCTGGAAGATCGGAAATTAATCTAAACAGGGGAAGGTGGTAGAGTTAGAAGAGGCTCAAAGATGAAATTGTGGAGCTGGAGGGATGGCTCAGCAGCTATGAACACTGGCTGCTTTCAGAAGACCCTGGTTTGATTCCTATTACCCACATGGTAGCCCACAATGGTCTGTAACTCCAGCCACAGAGGATCCAACATCCTCTTTTGGCCTACTCAGACACCAGACACAAACATGGCAAAGAGAAACTGTGGGCAGATGACAGTTATCTATTGCACAAAGTTTTCCTCTACCAAGTCTATCCTCCCAAAGACTAGCCCAGGCCAGCCATGCATAGCAGCAGCAGCAGCTGCTTTGTGTGTGTGTGTGTGTGTGTGTGTGTGTGTGTGTGTGTGTGTGTGTGTGTGTGTGTGTGTGTAGGTGTGTGGATGTGCGTGCTGGCTTTTAAGATATGTGAATTCAACAGTCGGAAAGAGTTGAGGTTGGATTACACAGGGTCCAAAGACCAGCCTGAGCTACAGAGCAAGACTCTGTCTCAATAACAAAGCTCAACGTCCGTATGGCCAACCAGTCTTAAGACATTGCATAAAAAGCCACTGAAACGTAAAGAAATAATCTTAAAATAAATTTACAAACCGTAGACCTGGTCAATAGATTGTGGATGCCAGACCATCAGTGGTTAAGATACACTGCCCGCAATTGGGAAATGTCAATAAACACTTTGCTTCCACAATTTACATAGCACCCACAAAATCAACTATCAACTTTCTTTCCCACATGTAATATTGATTTTGAACAAAGTAATTACACTTCGGTGTAGTGCTGAACTCTTTAGCAGCTACTTCCAACTGCAGGTTGCACTTTGTATGTGGAGAGCTGAATCAACCCTCAAATGCAGTGTTTCCACACTTCACCATCCTCATCCAGTGAGGAGGGTCTCATGCTCATCCTACTTCCTGCTCACTGGATTTTAACAGGAAGGTTGTTTCACATCATAGTTCAATTGGAGTCAACACCTGGGGTCAAGACAATGGCATCAGTTTGAACTTTGCCCTCTCAAACAGGCATTGACCACTAAACATGAGATGGGCTGGAGAGGTGGTTCAGTGGTTAAGAACAGTTACTACTGCTCTTGCAGAAGACAGTGGTTCACTCACAGCACTCACACCCATCTTTAACGCTAGTTCTAGGGGAATCCAACAGTTTCTGACCTCCCTGGCTACCATACATGCACAGAGTACACACAAAATAAAAATAAAATCTTTCTCAAATTGTGCCACCAAGGTATCACAGATGTTCTGACATCTTGGAAAAATCCTGTCAATGTACATACACACAGAAAAATGGTCTCACTTCCAGAATGAGAAAGGTTTTATATCTGTGTGAGTCTTTGAAGGTATATCTGTGTGAGTCTTTGAAGGTATACTATCTTACTCAAGCAGACTAGATACATAAGGACACTTTATAGTCAGTTCATTAAACATGTCATTTATTGAATGCTTTCTCAGTACCAGGTATTGGTGATACAGGAGTGAACAAATCTTTACAAGGTCCTCGCTCCCATGGAGTTTATGCTCTAATCTATCAGTTAACTGCCATGAAATCAAACCTTATGCTGAATCAGAGTGGAAATGCAGCCACTTGGTACTGTCAGATGAAACAATCAAGAGACACATGTAGTAAATAAGAGAATTTATTTGGAAAGTAGGGTATAAAAAGCATGATTCTAACACTTTTTAGAATATTAACAAATTAGAAAAAGTTAGAAACTACAGAAAAGGTAGACACCCTGAAATTGGCTTAAAGGCTGGCTACATAGTACAAATGAAGAACCCAAGATTCTTTCATGCATATAAGCATTAAGGGGAAAAGCATGGGAATGTTTAGAGCAGGCCACAACAAATTTTAAAAATTTACATTAAGAAACTGTACATAAATGGAAAAATAAATTAGATAATTTACAAGAAATGTTTTATAGGTTACAATAGGCTATAACTTAGTCTTATTATGCATAAAGTTTGTAGCATATCATACATTTTTACACAGATTTAATATTAGAAGAATCTAAACATAACAAAGCTTGGACCTAGCAAGAATAATGCAACCAACAAAGTAAGGCGCTTACACCGAAGTGACATGTGTAAGTAAAATAAGCCGAGATTTAAGATTCCCAAAATGGGACAGAAAACACCTAGGAATGACTTCATCAGAACTGGGAAGAATTGAAAGAATGCCTTTCAACTTCAGGTAAAATGCCAAATTGGCTTGGCTCAAACATAGTGGGTACTATATATCTGATCCTCACTCACTGCAGCAGACCAGTGATTTACATGTAGGATTAGGCCAACAACAGCCAGCTATGAGGTGCAGAACCAAAACCTTTGTTTAGAAAACAAACTAGTTTGTGAATGAAGATCAGATTCAAGCATAGTGCTGGGAGCCAGCAGCAAGATTCCAGCATCAGCTCTCACTGACTTTTAGAAGTAAGGACATTGCTGTCGGACACAGGTCTATCCCACTAAGCTCAGAAAAGACTTTAGGTCTTCTGCCTGCCTCATTAGGGCCATTTCAACCTACTTGTAGGCAATTCCATTTTCATTTTGTAAATGTGGCTGGGAATTGTGTGTTAGACAACTGCAGCAATTTCAGAGTGGCTTTAACTCTCTGAATTAGAGGGGCAATTTCCTCTTGTACAAATGAAAAGTAGTAATAATCCCTACATAATTTTTAGGTTAATGGTTAAAGTTCAAGTTACAGATGAATGTATGCACATAGTTTCCAATAGCTATCAAGGGCAGTAACAGGGGAGAATAGTAAGTACTTATTGTTAAACTACTACATAAGCACTGAACACATGTAAGTCATCCTAAGCACTGCCAGGAACGGGGCAGTTGTTCTCAGGCTACTGACAACTATGTCATTTCCCACAGCAGCCACTGAATTTCCAGCTTACAAATAGAGATAGTGACATTCAAAGAAGCTGGGCCAATGACCAGCACACCATAAAACATTATCAAATCTGAACTCCACATGTACTGAATAGATACAAGACAGCACAGCAGGACCAAAGGGAATGCTTTGCAAAAACATTTTAATATTCTCTAAGTAGAAATAAGACAGCAGAAACCCTGGGACAATCTCTTTTCACACTGCTGTTTCGAACCAGCTATCACAATCTTCAAAGAAAAAAAAAATTCACATTATGAGACTCATTGGAAAAGACAATTCTTGTTACAAACTGCAAACAAAAAGTAATTGTGTAAGATTATGTGATGCAGGCCAGGTGTGGTAGCATACGCCTTTATCACCAGCACTTGGGAGGCAGAGACAGGAGGATTTCTTGTGAGTTTTAGACCAGCCTCGTCTATATAACAAGTTCCAGAACAGACAGGACTATATAGAAAGACCCTGTCTCAAAAAGCATAAACCAAACGAAACCAAACCAAAGACTATTTGCTGACAGAAATGAAGCTAGCCTATGTGCATCACTGTCAGAATAAATCACACTCTAAACAGGGGCTTGGCTGGGAAAAGACAACACTGACATTTCAAGGAATCACTTTAAAATCAGAGTATTTTAAAAGAGAATGTATTTTGATTATTTTGTTTACATATAGTACAAAACAAGTTGAATGCAAAAAAAGGACATTCATTTTCATTATGCTTTAGCAATTTTTTACATAATTTAGAATTTCTGAATTATATTTGCAAATGCAGCACACTAACAAAGATAAAGTGCTCAACAAAAGAAAAAAGATACAAATAAACTAAATATGAAAGAACTTTGTTTCTAACAAAGTGGTTTTATAAGGAACATTTAAGAACTATGGCCAGGCCAAGCTTTCCACCCAAGAATGTAACCCCCAAACAGCATTATCTTTTAGGAATGGGTTTCCCAAACACAGCAATCACATGCATTCTCAGGGGCAACATCAATTTAGAGTTTTTAAAGAGTCCAGATTTTACAAATAATGAGAACCTCTTGAGAGGCTGGCTTTCAATTATCATGCACATTATTGGCCTTGGCAATGACTTTATCCAAGGGAGGGATCCACTAGTTCTCCACCTACTTAGAGTAGCTGAGAAAGGAAATGCCATGCTAACCTATGTGACTGTGGGCCAGAAGCCTAGAAGGCTAGTTAGAAGGCAACATTTTTGGGGAGTGGTGGTACTTTAGATCTCTGTGTGCGCACTCTACCACCAAAACCATGGCTGACAATGCTCTTAGCATTTGAAGTTACCAGAATTTTTATAAAGATTCTCTGTATATATAAAAGACAACAAGTTAAAAAGTGTTTCTTGGTAATCCTTCAAAATTGACTGCACAAAACTCAGAAACTTTAGAAACAAAATCCCTGGAATTAATTTTGCTTCCATAAAGGAAATCCATTAGTTTGGAGATTGCTAACTACTAAGATTATCATAGGCAGTTTTATCAGTATCAGATATTAGAAAAATCCCATACACTACAAGAGATGACATGATGCCAACATATCAATATTTTTGGATAATCAGTAATAGCTTCTCTGTGTAAAATAAACTGGCCCAAATAAATGATCTTATTTATATTAAAAAAAAAATTCTCACCCCCATTTCATTCTTTTAAAAGCTCATATTCATAAAGTTTTCATGGACACACTATAGCATTCACTTAATTCTAGCACACCTTTAGTCTCAGTGTGGAGGCAGAGGCAGGTGGATTTCTTTGAGTTCAAGGTTTATCTGGTTGGTCTATACAGCCAGTTCCAGGCTAGCTAGCCAGGGCTACATAGGTGAGACTGTCTCAAAAACAAAACCAGAAGTAGTTCTAGAAAAACACTAACCCAGTGGGCTGTCGTTATGTAGTGGCTATGAAATCTTAACTGTGGTCAGTCCAAACTGAGAAGTGCCATTTAAAATGTACATCAACTGAAGACTAAGTAATTAAAAACAAAAATAAACAAAAAGGGCAAAATATATCTCCCAAAAAAATTTTTGCACTGATTTCACACTGAAATAACACATTAGATATACTGGTAAAAAAAGAAAACAAAGCTGGGCGGTGGTGGCGCACGCCTTTAATCCCAGCACTCGGGAGGCAGAGCCAGGCGGATCTCTGTGAGTTCGAGGCCAGCCTGGGCTACAGAGTGAGTCCCAGGAAAGGCGCAAAGCTGCACAGAGAAACCCTGTCTCGAAAAACCAAAAAAAAAAAAAAAAAAAAAGAAAGAAAACAAAAGCAAAAACCCCACATGTACTAAAATGATTTTTTCATCTACTTCTTGTTAGTTTTTAATGTGTTTACTAGAAAATATAAAATTATACATGGTTTACATTTTAGTTCTATTAAATGGCACTGTTTAAGAACACAGACCTTAGCCGGGCGGTGGTGGTGCACAAATCCCAGGACTCTGGGAGGCAGAGGCAGGCGGCATATCTGAGTTTGAGGCCAGCCTGGTTTATGTAGTGAGAGTTCCAGGACAGCCAGGGCTGTTAGTTACACAGAGAACCCTGTCTTGAAAAACCAAAAACAAAACAAAACAAAACAAAACAAAAAAAACCACCAAAAAACAAACAAAAAAACCCAACCAAACAACACCAAAAAAAAAAAAAAAAACCCAACAAACAAACAAACAAAACCCCCAATTCCAAAACACAGACCTTCAATTAGGCTATTTATGACAGTATGCTTACAGGGAATTTCTCAAGAGCAATGTAAAGCAGATTAGAATGTTGGCAGCCTTTATCAATCACGATTCTGTGTTCTTATTAATTCATAATTATAGATTACACTTGGAAAAAGGTAAATAGATGAGCTAGTTGGTTCATGTTACATGGATCTTAGTAGGTAATCTCAGTTCCAAATGACAAAATGTTAGTTCCACATTACCCAAAGCATAGTGATCAAGTGAATATGAACACTATTCAATCTCTTCTTAAAGACAGCTCTAAACCTATAGTTGATGTATAGAATTTCCACAGGTAGAAAATCTGCAGTTTCTATCATTTAATTATTTTATTATCTGCATAAACACTTGAGTCAAAACCTTTATAATAGAGGAAGCAGTGGCATTCTAGCTGGAACTGGCCACTGCTCCGGCAAACACTGACAACAAAGACATCATGGTAGACTTAAATGTCTGAGTGGGCTGATTTCAAAGTTCCAAGCAGTCTACTGGGCAAACACTATCTTCATAGACTCCCCAAATACTATTTGTATGTTCATATTTTAGGTGAAGAAAACTGAATTTTAAATACCTGCACATAAAATCTGAAAACTACACGGAGATCTGTCGTATCAAACACCTCCTGACAATCTGGTGGAAACTTACTACAGAACACTAGGGTCTCAGAAACCACACTGGAATACTATTTGAAGTGTAGACAATCTCTAACCTCTTCAAGGTTATTTCCAGAAATATTGGTAATTAATACAGGTCCATTTCCCTTACAGATTCAACTTTATGACACACTACTGGCCTCTAAAATGTTACTGCAAATGTAAAATCTGAGAGATTTAACATTATAAAATCAGGAATTCAAAAACAAGAATAAATTCCAAGGCAGAAGCAAAGACAAATTTTGGATCTGCAATGCTTTTATGACCAAAAAACACAAATACTGATCCATTTGTAACTCAGCAATACTACCTCAGAGTCACACAGTTTCAAAATACCCTTTTAGACAACATCTGATTCTGCCCTTTGCTGTTTATAGCAGGATAAAAATCAGCTTTCATAGTTGTCTTAATGAGAAGGAAGAAATGTGTATGTTTGAGTCTGATACACATAGTTGGGAAAGAACAGAATGTCACTCAGTCTAATCATATTCCATCTGAATAGTCTGAGGACTTAGGCAGATTCCAAAGTATGTGGTTATGCCCCCATTTTAAAACAGTAAACATCTTAACACATATACTGATTGATGCATGAAATAAAGAAAACTTAACGCCACCAGATATGTGCAAAAAAATTCAGGGATTCAAAAGAAAAAGTCAGGTTTATGTTTAAATACAGTATTTCAACTCATCAACTGAGAGAAAACTGTACTTATGGGGAGAGGTCATAGACATGCTTTGTTGAAGAGGATATGTTATAAAACTACTACCATAGTTAATACTTAATATTGCCTTAACATTTCTAAAGTCACAGAAAATGATCATCTTTGATTGCCAGTACAATAAATTATGATACAGAGTATGTTACTTCCTTTTCACTAGTAACCAAACATACATAAAACAGACTCGAAACAAATATTTAGTATTATTTTGCATAAGCAAACATTTCTGAGATTTGAAGATTTGTGTTTGAACATACAGTACTACAATGCTGGCTACATCAAATAAATAGAAAATCATTTTTTGAGAAAAGTTCAACAATCAAGAGGCTGTATTGCATATAAGATAGAACGCTGGCTATATATACAAACAGGGGACAATCAATGAGGAATACTTCCCATTACAGAGGTCTTTCCAGGCAGCAAAGCTCATGAGCTCATCATTCTGACATTTAAAATCAACACAAATAGTGTTACTCTTTTATCCTTTGGTTCCCAGTGACAAATAATGAATACAGTCTCTGGATCAGTTCCTCCTGGATGACATTTCTTCATAAAGTTCTCTGACGTTTTAGCTGAAATTTGGCAGTCCAAGAAGTGCACCAACGGCTCCAAAGTATCCCTGCATGATTTAAACAATTTAAGGCAATGTAGCTTTTTAAATTTACTTGTTAAGAACACACATTTATTTATTTATTTATTTATTTATTTATTTATTTATTTATTTATTTATTTATTTATTCTCAAGACAGGGTTTCTCTGTGTAGTTTTGGTGCCTGTCCTGGATCTCGCTCTGTAGACCAGGCTGGCCTTGAACTCACAGAGATCCGCCTGGCTCTGCGTCCCAAGTGCTGGGATTAAAAGTGTGTGCCACCACGGCCAGGCTCAAGAACACACATTTATATAGTCTTCTTCACATGAATACAGGAAAGGATACATTCCACAAATGATAAACAAACTAGATTCAGGAAAGAAGCACTAAGTTCAAAAGAACCCAGCAAACCATCAAAACTAATACAGAAGGAAAGGAGACCAACCACCCAGCAAATAAGCACTTAGTTTCTGAAAATAGCAACCCTCTCCTTGTTAATTAATAAATGTAAATGGCCTCAACTCACCACTAAAAAGATACAGACTAATGGACTGAATTAAATAAAAAGAACTAGCCAGGTGTGGTAAGACACACCTTTAATCCCAGTACTGGGGAGGGGCAGAGGCAGAGGCAGAGGCAGAGGCAGAGGCAGGTAGATCTCTGAGTTTGAGGCTAGCCTGATTCAGGGCAGTCAGAGCTACACAGAGAAACCCTGTCTTGAAAAACCAGAAACAGCTGGGCGGTGATGGCGCACGCCTTTAATCCTAGCACTTGGGAGGCAAAGACAGGTGAATCTCTGTGAGTTTGAGGCCCTCCTGGTCTGCAAAGTGAGTTCCAGGACAGGTTTCAAAAAGCTACACAGAGAAACTCAGTCTCGAAAAAAACAAAACCCTGAGAGATATCAAACAACTTAATGATGCAGCCCCAAGGCTCATACAAATAGGCAATATTAAACACAGCAACAGCAAGATATCATATCATGGAAGAAATTAATGAAATCGGAATTAAAATAACAATACAAAATCAACCAAAGGGTTGGTTCTTTGGAAATGTTAGTAAGATTGACAAACTCTTAGTCAATCTGATAAAATAAAGACATAAATTAATAAAACTAGAGGTCAAAAGGATGTCATTACTACAGACTGCAATAAAAAATGTTAAGCTGCATTCTATACACTTTTGAAATAATTATCTTTAAACTATGGCTTTTAGACACTAACATTTAAACAACTAATATAGTATAAATAATATACCCTCTCCCTCCCTTTAGTCAATAAACAAACAAACAAACAAACAAAAAACTCCTTGGAGCTTTGACACTCTTAGTGTGTGCCTTGTAGAAGGGTAAGAGAACATTCCATTCCAATTTGTACAGAGAGCTGCAACAATGAGCTATGGAAACTTATTGTAGCAATACTTTGAATGTTATTAATTCAAAATAATGTAAGCATCTGATTTCATTATATGAGACTGATTAACTGCACAGATTAGAATTTAACTGGATATTATAAATAGGAAAAAAACCTAGGAAGTAAGTTGTTTGGTTTTTTATTTGTTTGTTTGAACACAGGGTCTTGACATGTAATCCTGGCTAGCCTCGAACTTATATAGAGCAGACTAGCTTCAAACCTAGGCTAACATCTTGCTTGTTAGGATTATAGGAGTGTACCATCAAGATGAACTAGGAAAACAAATCTTACAGATTTCAAAAGTTTACAATAGTTACTTCTCAGGGTCGGGGTGGGTTACAATACACTGAGGGAATTAAAAAGAATCCTTTGTTATAACATAGCCCAGGCCTGGGAAAATAGCTCAATCTGTAAATACAAGGAATCGAATTTTTGATTCCCTAAACCAACATAAAAATAGGAAAGCTAGATGGTAGTGTATCTTTATAAGCCCAGATGTGGGGAGTCAGATCTTTGGGGTTTGCTGTCCAACCAATATAGCCTCACCATGCCAGTGAGAGACCCTGTCTCAAAGATGGGGATGGTGTTCTTGATAATGACACCTGAAGTAGTGTTCTGGTCTCCACATATGCACACATATTTACAGTTTTACATATAGAAATGTAAAAAATTTTCATACAAAACATGCTGTTAAATAACTACAAAAAATGTTTTCATACCTCATGTTCTAGAAACAATGCTTTCAATTGACCTTTTGACCAGTAATCCAAAGCATATGCCAGAAGTTTCATAGAGAGAGTATTGACACGTAGAAAGTTTCCAACGAAGACAACTCTGTTTATTTTCTGAAAGAAAGAAAAGAAGCAAGTGACTTTTAGGGCATTAAAAATATTTATGTAAGAACGTTATGTCATTCATTAGTACCTGGCATACAGTTCTATATTTCTGATTATTCACGAACTAGATAATTAAAGGTGAACTCTAATGTCAAATACGAACTCTGGACTTTAGTGCTGATGTCATGTCCTACATCTTCTTGGACTACAGCCAAATATACCAAGATCCAGAGTATGCTGAATCAGAGAAACTGTGTACATGTGTGGAAGGTGTGACAACAGCCTGTACTTTCCTATTTCAGTTTTACTACAAACCTAACATTGATGTAAAAAGTAGTGTCTAGTTATGTTGTAACCATGTACCATGCAATGCAATCTGGTCCCTCCACAGAGTTGGACAGTAGCAATGATTGGGTAAGGGGAGCATGAAGGGTGAATAACATAGAAGTTGAGAAAGAGGAAGATATGGAGGCAGCGGAACAGGAGGCATACACTAATTAAAACATAGTTTGTGTGCTGGAGAGATGGCTCAGTGGTTAGGAGCACAAGCTGATCTTCCAGAGGACTAGGGTTCTATTCCCAGCACCTTAGCTGTTCACAACAACATGTAACTACTCTAGTCACAGGAAATCGAATGCTTTCTTCTGTCCTCCACAGGCACTGCATGTAAATGGTGCAGACACACGTGCAGGTAAAATATCCATGCACATAAAATTAAAAAACAATAGTTTAGGTTGAAGATTAAGAGTTTTGCTACTGATAGCAAGCCCCAGGGATCCTCCTGTCTCCTCCTTCATTCCTGTTGGGGTTATAGGCCCAAAGTCACATCTGGCTTCTTACATGGGCGCTAGGGATTCAAATTCAGGTCCTCTGCACAGCAGTCATTGAACCATTTCCCCAACCCTCCATATTTTTCTTAAGGCAAGCAAGACACATCACTCAGACAGCATGTGAAGAACAAGTCTCAATGCCTTCATAGCCCTGTACAATGCTGCTTGATCCATATGCAACAAGGCAGCACTGTAAAGAAGCCGAGGGCAGTAAGAAAATTTCCAAGTATCTCACTAATTGAATACTCCATTCATTATAAACAAAGACTCCACAATGCTTTCTTCAATAGTTATCTCAAAATGTTTTACACTTATATTTCACTCCCATTTAGACTGTGTATTCATTTCTGAAGACATTTTGAGAATAAGTACTTATTTGTCCTGTCTGGCCCCAAGTTGGTTCTTTTTATTTTATAGGGCTGGGGACTGAACACCAAGGGGCTTGCATATTTGTTGTATTTCTTTCTTTCTTTTTATTGGTTATTTTGAAGCAGAAGTTGACCATGTAGCCCTGGCTGGCCTGGAACTCTCTTTGTAGCCCAGGCTGCCCTTGAACTCAAAGAGATCTGCCCAGTTCTGCCTCTCAGTGCTGTATTTCTCATTAAAAAAAAAAAAAAAAAATCCTTCGGTAAACTAGGTAAACAAGATCTTTTATCCATTTGAGAGTGTAAAGAAATGGATCTCAATCTGAGAGGCCTCAGTGGAAAATAAGGGGTTCTGTCAGATGCACAGGAATCAATTTATTTTTATTTAAAAATAGAACAAAAAGACAAGGTCTCTCTATATAACCCCAAAGGCCTGGAACTAGCAGTGTAGATTAGCCTCAAACTCATAGAGCTCTGCCTCCTGAGCGCTGGGATTAAAGGCATACACCACTGCATCCAGATGTATTCTGTATAATTAAAAGTTCTTGAATGTATTCTTACCTCATTAACAGCACACATTCGTGCCACAGAACCAATGTTATTGGTGATAGTAACTAAAGTAGCTCTCGCCAGATCCTCTTTACTAACAGTTTCTCGCTTCTCCTTATAAATCATATTCCCAAAACTGCAAAAAAAAAAAAAAAAAAAGAAACAGACAAATCAAATCTACTGGTAATAATAATTCACACATTAATTTACATATCTATAATAGCTCTATACAGTTAGGGCCAAAGATCATGAGCACATAGGAATCAGCTCAAAACAAAAATCCAAAAGGAATATGCAGCATTTTAAAAAGAATTAAAAGTAAAAAAAAAAAAAAAGCAGACTTCTTCATTACTAGGAAGCAAAGATTTTCATTATATATACATATTAAAACCAAATATAACACAAGAAAATTAAGATTATTTTCTTAGGAAGCCAAGAAAAAAGAGCAGAAACTTTTTAAAGTCAAAATATTGTTAAAGATGATTTCAGCTCTAATGTCAAATCCTTTTCATTCAATAACACAAGCATTTATGACAGACCAAGCATTATGCTAATGCAAAGGTACCTGAAGCAGTATAATGGCTAGGGCAGCATTGTCCAATAGAAATACGTGCCACATGATACATTATCTATAAGCCATATTTGAAAAGGTCAAAATAAAGGTGAAATGAACTAGAATTGGTCATCTTACTAAAAAGTCAGTATATCTAAAGGCAACTCTTTGACCACGTGGCATGCATTAACTACATTCCAAGTGCCTGTTGTGTCCATCTTGTTGAGGCTACCCTATGGACAATGCAGACCACATGGAGGAGAGCCACAGAGACACCAAGTGTAACAAGACAACAGACAAACCAAATCACAGGGAGCAAGAAAGAATAAAGACTGCATTTTTGTGATAAGAAAAAGTTCAGAACAAAGGCTTTCTACAGTAAAAATTAATTTAACTAGTTTAAGAGAAAAAGAGAAGAAATATTCTAGACAGAAGCAACCAAGGTTAATGACCAAGATTAATGCCACACAAAAATAATGAAACATGTCTGATATCACAAGTGGTATCAAATATGAAGAGCGAAGGGTCTCTGTGAGAATGCAGAGATGTGCTAAGGAGGCAAAGTCCACTACTACTTCTAGAGGGCAATGGATGATACCCTGACAAGCAATAGTCAATCACAACACAATGGAAATCACATATAAACAAAAATATTTAGGAATACAGGGAGTGAATACATGAAGTTCCACCCCTCCTTGAGGATCTGAAGGCAGTTAAAAAGTTGATGGGGCAGAAGAATGACATTTTCTTCAGTTACACAGCCACTGCTATGTTGCCAAAGTACTGATGAGCAACTTATTAGGTCATGAAAAGAAACCCAAAAAGGAGAAGGGGACTGACTAACTACTTAGAAGAGGATCATCAAGAGTGGGAGGGAGACAGGAGAGTAATAGGGGTGAACATGATAAAAATAAATTAGATTAGCAGGCGGTGGTGGTGCATGCCTTTAAAAGTGAGTTCCAGGACAGCCAGGAATACACAGAGAAATCTTGCCTCGAAAAAACAAACAAACAAAAATTATATTTACAAATGAAAATGCCATAATGAAACCCATTACGTGTAAAATAATAGGCTAACAAAATTTTAAATTGTTTAGGAAAAATTTAATATATAGACATCTTTCTAAATGTCTGAAAGGAACAAAAGTGCCTTAAACAGGTAAGTTTTATAACAGAAAGATAACATATCATAAAGCTATCATTTTCAAACATTTAGTTAGTCTCTCCCTCTCTGTGTGCGCACACACTCAGGTCAGAAGACAACTTGTAGGAGTTAGTTCTCTCCTTTTACTCAGTAGGTTCTCGGCCTCAGTCTCAGGTAGACAAGCATGGAAGCAGGCACCCTTATACACTGAGTCATCTTACTGGCCCAAGGATGTCATTCCCTAAGTTAATAAATTTAACGATCACAAAAAATAAGTAAGCATACTTTTATCTTCTATAGCTTTAAGAGAGTGTAGCAATGGTATATCCAGAGTAAAAAACAAAAACAAAACAAAACACTAGTGCATGATGAATTCATCTCTAATCAGTGGAAAAAAATAAGAATAGATGTTAGGTCCTTGTGAAAAAAATTGAAAAACTAAAACTGGATCTATCTCTCACATAAAGCTGTAAGAAAAATTATAAATCATGTTTGTTTATATCATAGCAAAGACTGAAGTATAAAAGTAATACATTAAAGTACCAAGAGAAAGAAAATACAGATTAATTCCTTTATATATTTGGAGTGTGGAAGACTTACTATGAATCAATATCCAGAAGCCATTAAAGAAAGGACTGATTAAATTCAACTGTGTAACAAGCCAACAAAAACACCAGATCAATACTAACAGCACACCACATAAGGTTCTTAGCCTCAGTGTTGGTAAAAGAAATGCAAATTAAAATTACACTAAAATGCTGCTTCTCTATCAGATTAGCAAAAACTCAAATGTTTCACAGCATACTAGTTCAACTGTAGGGAAATACTTTTACTTGGTGGGTTAGGTGAAAAGCCACCATTTGGAGGGTATGCTAAACAAAACTGTACAAAGCATTTGTGCTTTACCTTTGGAAATGTAAGCTATGTAAGCTATAGACAGGACAACATGAAAAATGTGTAAAGATTTCTAGGATGTGTGACTATTTTAGAGTATGTATACTATATGCTATGTAGTGCCACAAGTTTTTGGATAAGCAGAGGATTATAGGATATGATTTGTATTTCCATATAGCAACAGGAGATAGGTGCTTCAGAATAAGAAGTTTCTGTTTTCCTGGGGTTTTTTTGACAGTGTATCACGGTGTGGCCCTGACTGACCTAGAACTCCTTTGGTAGAACTGGTTGGCCTCAAACTCCATCTGCCGCTGCCTCCTAAATGATGGGATTAAAGGCATGTGCCACCATGGCCAGCTGAGAAGTTTTTTTTCTGCAGTGCAGGGAATCAAACCCTGGCCTTGGGCAGACTAGGCAAATGCTCCTCCACTGAGAATATCACCAGCACAAGGCAATTTTTTTTTTTACAGGGTAAACTTCATAATGAATTTATTTGTTTTCAAGACAGGGTTTCTCTGTGCTGACTGTCCTAGAACTTACTCTATAGATCAGGCTAACCTCAAACTCAGGGATCCACCTGTCTCCCAAGCGCTGGGATTAATGCATGCAACACTACCACCCAGCTTGAGTATTTTATTTTTAAACTACTTCAATGTTCAAAACTTGGACTCTAAACAAAGAAATCACCCTTAAACCCCATGACCTACTATTTTCCAAAAACTAAATAGACAACTTGACTTACCTGGATGCCACAGCCCAGCCTGGCAGACCAAATCTTTCATAATCTCCACCATATATATCACGGACCAGCCTATCAGCTTGTGTGCTGTCACCTTTGGATGCCATTTCAAGAGCCTCTTCAAAACTTTCACAGCCAGTCAATAAGCTGCATAAACCAAGAAACGTACCTCCTCCAAGGCTAAATAAAATAAAATAAGACAATCTTGTTAAATTTTACATGTTATTTTCTTTCCCAAAGTAAAAAGACACATTTATTTATTGAATAAACGAAGGGAAAACATGGTAACTGCTAAATATCAACATAATAAAAGACAAGAAAAACTACTTAATAAAATCAAATCTGTCGCCGGGCGGTGGTGGCGCAAGCCTTTAATCCCAGCACTCGGGAGGCAGAGGCAGGAGGATCTCTGTGAGTTCGAGGCCAGCCTGGTCTCCAAAGCGAGTTCCAGGAAAGGCGCAAAGCTACACAGAGAAACCCTGTCTCGAAAAAAAAAAAAACCAAAAAAACAAAAAACAAACAAACAAAAAATCAAATCTGTCATCTCAAAGGCTAAGTCTGCTGGGGACAAAAACCCCACCTGGAATCTAATAGTTTATACTTTGTAATTGCTAAAAATATACTACTGTGTATTCATTAAAACAAACATTAAGCGGCGGCGGCACACGCCTTTAATCTCAGCACTCAGGAGGCAGAGCGAGGTGGATCTCTGAGTTTGAGGCCAGCCTGGTCTACAGAGCGAGATCCAGGACAGGCACCAAAACTACACAAAGAAACCCTGTCTTGAAAAAAAAAAGGGGGGGGGGGGACAAATGGGGACAGGGACAAAAAAACCCCACCAAATAAATAAATAAATAAAGGAACACTAATAATAGGTTGGTGAGATAATGCATGCTACAACTGTCAACACTAGAGAAGCTGAGACAAGACCTTGAGTTCTGGGTCAGTCAGTCTGTCCAATACACAAAGACTCAAAAAGGATGTCTATGTCCTAAAAATACCACACAAAGGGAAACCTGTGCTTTAAATTTCCAAAAAATGACTTCATGAAAGGTTTATTTAGTTGCCCAATTAGGTTGAAATCAATTCAGTTATGATATATGAACATCTAACATGAACCAGACCAAATTGGGTTGAAATCAATTCAGTTATGATATATGAACATCTAACATGAACCAGACCAATACTTAGAGGAAGGAAGGGGATATATCCAGCTGATCATCGCATTAATGACAAATTTATTTGGTACTATTCCCATATAATTTTGGATATGTCCATGAAATGTAATTGTGCAACTCTAGTCTTTAAATGTAAATTCTTCACTTGGTAGAATCACCTAAATTTCTTTTTTTTTTGTTTTTTTTTTTCCTTTTCAAGACAGGGTTTCTCTGTGTAGCTTTGCACTTTTCCTGGAACTCACTTTGGAGACCAGGCTGGCCTTGAACTCACAGAGATCCGCCTGCCTCTGCTTCCCAGTGCTGGGATTAAATGTGTGCGCCACCACCGCCGGGCTTTTTTTTTTAATCTTTTTTTTTTTTGTAGTTAATCAAAACAAGAATGTTCTGTATAGTCATTGGTTAATGACAGTACAAAAGTGGGCTTCTAGAGTACCAATCACTATTAGAGTACTAATGCATTTAAATATTTCAACAGGAGTATTGCTTTAAAATTGACCCCCCCATAAACCTACCTAAATTATTTCAAAATTTTTGCTCCCATAGTTGAACAGGCATTGCTACCTATTCTTAAACGCTGATGAAATATGTAAGAGAATTAAGTCTTGTAAAAACAATTCACATTCACATTTCAGGTTATTAAAAAGTTATGGACTACTTGAGAACATTAATTTATTCTATAAGGAGTTATCATTAAATTCATCCTAAAAATTAACTACAGTGTTGGAGAGGTGGCTCAAAGGTTAACTGCTCTTGTAGAGGACCTGGATTCAGTTCCCACCATCACCAACTGGCAGCTCACAACTACCTGTACTCAGTTTTCAGGGATCTAACACCTTTCGGCCTCTATGGACATCTGCACTTATGTGTCCATACATATAAATAAAAATAAACGCAAAATAATTAACTACTCTCTCTGATACTGTAGTTTAAACGCAAATCTATAAAGTACTGGGCAAGTTTTATGCATAAATATAAAAACAGAAAAAAAATGATGTAGAAATTAAAATATAAACAGATACTGTAGTTCTGAAGTCAACAGAATGCTGACTGCCACTGCTAGCAACTCTGTTAAACCTAGGAAAAAAACAGTGGAATTATTCTATACAAAAATTAACTCATCATTATAGAAAGTCCGATGCCAACTGATGTTGACCATTAAAAAATATGCCGGGCGGTGGTGGCGCACGCCTTTAAACCCAGCAATCGGGAGGCAGAGCCAGGCGGATCTCTGTGAGTTCGAGGCCAGCCTGGGCTACCAAGTGAGTCCCAGGAAAGGCTCCAAAGCTACACAGAGAAACCCTGTCTCGAAAAACCAAAAAAAAAAACAAAAAAAAACAAAAAAAATACTTAGGGACATGTTTTAAGTCATTACACAAACATCTTACAAAAAGAGATCTGCAACATTTTAATTTACACATCTATATTCTTTTTAAAGACATTACTTTTATGTGTTTGAGTGTTTTGCTTACATGTATGTAGCACCAGGTGTGGCTAGCGCCAGCAAAGGCTACAACCTCTGGAACTAGACTTAAGGATGGCTGTGAGCTGCCATGTGGGTGTTGAACTGAATCTGGGTCTTCTGCAATAAATAGCAAGGGCTCCTAACTACTGAGCCATCTCTCCAGCCCCCTATATACTTTTGCTGTTGTACAAATAAGTATTATTTGTCTGGTAAAACTAGCGAACTAGCTAGTTTACCAGTATGTTTACTGATGCAGCTGGGGACCCAATTCAGTGTAGCACACTTGCCTAGCAACAGTATGAGGCCTATGTTTGATCTCTATCACCAAAAATAGTTAGACAGAAAGATAAAAAAACCAAAATACACCCCAGAACTTTTGTTGAATAAATAATGTCATCAGACCAAAAAAAAGATTACTACCTTGTCCCAGTCACTCTTTTATAGTTGTCTTTGGAATGAACTGCTAAAATACTGACTCCTGAGCCAATATTCACTACCAGCAGTGGATAAGGATCATCCAGGTTAAAAGGCATCTTTTGGCATCGTTCAGGTTCTGAGGCATTAGCAAAATAATAGCATTCTGCTTGCCCATTGAAACTGACAGAATCTATATACAGCAAGCCCTTTACAAGGCAGTCAAGTTCATCCAGTTTGTGCAGGTGGAGGTTTCCAATCTAGAAGAAAAAAGCAAAAATCAGAATTTTTAAAAGGTCAAACAAATATACTTGGGTTAATTATTGTATTAGTTTTCATAGATTTTATAAAACTTCAGTATTATTTAAGGCACTGCATGTTTTGTTTTGTTTAGGGTCAAAATCTATCAAGGATTTCACTTAATCCACCAGTTCTCAGTGAAGGAAGGCAGCATTGCCTCTGGATACTTTAGATTTCAGTGGATGAAGAGGAGGCAGGGGTCAAAGTAACATTTAGGGGACAGAAAAGCACTGACTGCTCTTCTAGACACTAGAGTTCAATTCCAGTACCCACATGGCGACTTCAGTTCCAGGAACTCTAATACTTTCTTCTGACCATCTTAGTCACTAGACATGCACATGCAGGCAAAATACCCATGCACAGAAAATAAAAACATCCACCTCGAAATTAAAAAAAGAAAAAGAAATTTAGTGGACAGGGTTATGGCATGGCAGACATTTGTTGTGCACAGGACAGTTATGCATATTTTAAAAAATCATCCCACCTGAGTTATTTTTGACTATTCTGACACACATTAATTTTACCTATCAAAGACCACAAACATTGTTCACATAGTTTTAATGTATATGTTAATTTGCTAGGCCAACATTCAACATTCCAAAATACTGAATTACATGTGATAAAACTCCAAATACCGAAACACAGTATCCCTTCAAAAGTTCTCTTGCCATATGCATTATAACCTCAAGAGGTACATACTAACATAACTGATTTCAGGAGATGGCTAACATGAATACAAAAACAAACAAAACAAAAAATGCCAATCGAGTTTGAGGACAACCTGGCCTACATAAAGAAACCCTGTCTCCAAAAACCAAAATCAAGAAACTCCCACCAACAACAAAAGGAAAACAAATGTAAAACAGTAAAAGTAAGTAAGGCAGATCTCACCAGGGTCTCCTCACACCACATTCCATCAACACACTGAAATCTGGGCAATGTGGACAGCACATAAAGTTGTTAAAAATGTTCCAGGTCAAAATCTAGTCATGCACATATACCTCAGGGAAAATGAAATTAAGGAGCACCCTAGGTCAGCAGTTCTCAACCTGTGTGTGGGTCCCGATCCTTTGGGGGAAGGGTTGAAGGATCCTTTTACAGGGATTAAATCAGATAGCCAGTGTATCAGATATTTACATTATGATTCATAACAGTAGCAAAATTACAGTTATGAAGTAGCAATGAAATAATTTTATGGTTGGGAGTCACCACAGCATGAGAAACCATATTAAAGGGTTGCAGCTTTAGGAAGGTTGAGAATCACTGCCTTAGAAGCCCAGCCTTGTATTTAAAATTGAATATTCTCATTAATTTTTGGTTTTCAAGTAAGACACCTACTGTGCGAAAATCTTTCTCAAACTTGTAAGCACCGCCTCCTGTAGCACTCAGCACCGTTTGTAAGGTTGAGAAGTTTTTATCTCTTCCCATTTGGATAAAAGTAGGCAGGTCCTGGGTTGGAAATCTGATAAAGTGCAAGTTCCCTCTTCGTCCAAAAAGTGTTAAGTCCTTCAGTTCAAGGTGTACATCCCGAATGCCAGTTGATCCATATGCTACGTTAGAAGTCAAATACTTCCGAATGCTTTTTAAGCTCTCAACTTCCTCTTGTTCTTCCTCCGCTGTGATATCGATAGGTTCAAAATATGAGAGCTTTACCAGAGTTCCCCCTATGTCCATGCCAAACCATGGGAAAGCTGTGAATTAAAAAAACAAAAAACATGTTGATTGTGGGAAAAGAAACTGAAATGATTAATTAGCCACAAACTTCATTTAATCTGAATCTTGAACTTAGTTAATATCTAATGGCTAAGACTTATGTAACTCATCTTTTCCTTCAGTTGTATTTGTACACTCCCTCCACACCCCGCCCCCCCCCCCCCCCCCCCCCCCCCTTTCTTTTGGTTTTTCGAGACAGGGTTTCTCTGTGTAGCTTTGCGCCTGTCCTGGAACTCACTCTGTAGCCCAGGCTGGCCTCAAACTCAGAGATCTGCCTGCCTCTGCCTCCTGAGAGCTGGGATTAAAGGCGTGCGCCACCACCACCCGGCTAAAAAATATATAATGATCTGGAGAGATGGCTCAACACTTTTTTTTGGAGCTGAGGACCGAACCCAGGGTCTTGCGCGCCACCACTGAGCTAAATCCCCAACCCCCCCCCCCCTTTTTTTTGAGACAAGATTTCAATGTAGCCCTGGCTGTCCCGGAACTCGCTCTGTAGACTAGGCTAGCCTCAAACTCAGAGATCCACCTGCCTCTGCCTCCTGAGTGCTGGGATTAAAGGTGTTCACCACCATTACTGCCCAGCTATTTGTATACTTTCTAAAAACTTACATGTATTTAGACACTGTCCAAGACCTTTTAATTCTTTATCTGACAGGCACACCTATTCACTCATTAAATGCTCATCATGTGATTTATGTTACTAAGAAGAATCTAAACTCATCAGTTAGCACTAGGATTTAAAAATTATTTGTTTTGTTTTTTAAAGTTTTATTTATTTTATGTGTATGAGTGTTTTGCCTTTGTGTATGTGCCTGGTACTCAAGGTTAGAAGAGGATATCTGGTACAGACAGATGCTTGTGAGCTGCCACATGGGTGCTGGGAATTGAAATTAGGCCCTCTGCAGTCCTTCTATAAAGATTTTAATATAATAAAACTAGGGGCTAAGAAGAAGGCTCAGTGGCCAATTAACTCCCAAAACGAATGTAAAAGACAGACACAGGACACAGCAGCACATCTAGTTAGCACCTGTAAGCCAAGTGCCAAAGGGAAATAGGAAGAGTACATGTCTCAAACAAAACAAGGTAGAGGGCAAAAGGACTAACACTGGACTACCTTGTGTGCTTGCCTACACTCATACAGAGATGCGCTCGCACACAGGTGCACAAACCAAAAAAAAAAAAACAAGTGGGTAGGGCTAAACAGAGAAACCTTATCTCAAAAAAAAAAAAAAAAAAAAAAAAAAAAAACCCCACAAAAAAAACCTGGCCTATAATCACAAATCAGGTAACCAATGGAAAAACTATTTCCTTAAATTGAAACTCTGGGTGACTAGGGAGATGGCTCAGTGATTAAAAGCACTTGTTACTTTTCCAGAGGATCTGAGTTCCACTGTATCATGCAGCAGTTCCATGGGATCCCACACTGGCTTTCGGACACAGGCACTGATACAGTTTTTAAAACGAAATGAAATCCTTCTTTGCTCATTCAGCATGTTAAGTTTCTTTGGTCCATATGATTAACCACACTGATCTGCCTATATAAAAGGACAAGTGCATTTGGGCTAGGAGTAATATTCAGGTTTAGGACCTCAGCTAACTGGACTATGTGGCTCTGGGGAGAAAATCTGATACTCCTTTGAATGTGGAGAATGCTTAAAAAAAAAAATAAATTAGCCTAGCCAAAGGCAGAGACCTAATATAGTTAGGGAAATATGAGAAAGGCTTCAGCTGAGAAAATACAGAGTCAAGCACAAAAGCCCTTGCATGCTAGGGAAAGAGACTGAGTCTTGAATCTATAGATAATTTCTATAGACAATATAGGCACCATTTCTTTTCTCCATAAGAAAGTATACAGTTTGGCTCAACATCAGAAAGCTTTCTAAAGTAGGAACATACAGAACAGACAGACAAGTTTGCACTTAGAAGCAGGGTGGTGGGAGGCAGAAGCAGGTGGATTTGAGCTCAAGGCCAGTCTAGTCTACAGAACAAGTTCTAGGACAGCCAGGGCTACACAAAGAAACCTTATCTCAAAAACAAACAAACAAAAAACAAAAAAATAAGACAAAACAAAACAACAACAACAAAAAAAACAAAAAGAGGCACTTAAAAACTAAAGGTGCCTAGCAAGTTGAAAATTGGATTCTAGACATTATTTGAAAACTACAGGGGGCTGGTGAGATGGCTCAGCAGTTAGGAGCACTGGCTGCTCTTCCATGAGGGCCCAGGTTCAATTCCCAGCACCCACATGGCAGTTCACAACTGTCTATAACGCCTGTTCCAGGGGATTCAACACTCTCACACAGATATACATGCAAGGAAAACACCAATGTACATAAAATACAAATAAATAAATTTTAAAAAAAAGAAAGAAAACTACAGATTTCTGGGCCCTCACTCCACGGTGTTGGGCTGAGATGGCTCAGCAATTAGGAGTGTTTGCTACTCTTCTAGATGACTAGAGTTCAGTTCTCAGCACTCATTCCAGGTGGCTCACAAGTGCCAATAACTCCAGCTCCAGGGAACCTGACACCTGCTTCTGGCCTGTGGGCACCATTTATGTAGATGGCACATGTAGGCTCCCGTATGCAGCTCAGTTGGCAGAGTGCTGCAGAAAGCACTGGCCAGTGCTGCATACCTGTAATCTCAGCACTCTCTAGGTAGGTAGAGACAAAAGGATCAGGCTTGTCATCCTTGACGACACACCATGAGTTCAAAGCGAGCCTGAGTTACTTGAGACCAAAGTCAGAGTGAGTCAGTCAGTCAATCTGTCTCTCTCTCTGCATGTAATTTCGAATAAGAGAAAGAAGTAATTCTCATTATTTTCTTCTATAGAAATAGTTCATGGCCAAGCATGATGGTATACACCTTTAATCCTAGCACTTCAAAGGCAGAGGCCAGCCTGGTCTACATAGAGTTCCAGGTAAGCGGGTACATATGTAGACACTGTTTCAAAAAAGAAAAGGGGGAAGAAAAAGAATCAGGAAACTGGGGCTGGAGAGATGGCTCAGAGGTTAAGAGTACTGGCTATTCTTCCAGGTCCTGAGTTCAGTTCAATTCCCAGCAACCACATGGTGGTTCAAAACCATCGGTCATGAGATCTGGTGCCCTCTTCTGGCCTGCAGGCACACATGCAAACAGAACACTGCATACAAAATAAATAAATAAATAAATCTTAAAAAAAAAAAAAAAAAAAAAGAAGAGCCGGGCGGTGGTGGCGCACGCCTTTAAACCCAGCACTCGGGAGGCAGAGCCAGGTGGATCTCTGTGAGTTCGAGGCCAGCCTGGTCTACCAAGTGAGTTCCAGGAAAGGCGCAAAGCTACACAGAGAAACCCTGTCTTAAAAAACCAAAAAAAAAAAAAACCAAAAAAAAAAAAAGAAGAATCAGGAAACTGAACTTTTTAGTATTGGAAAAGTGAGTAACAAGAAGGCCACATCAAATGAATGACACTTGAGACAAATGGCTGGCCATTTATAAAACATACCTCTAGGTAAAAAGAATGTGGTTATCACCAAGAGCTGCTTTCAGTTCATAAAATCTAGAATTTCTTTGAGAAATTCATTCATGGTCTATATAGCCTTGCTTAAGGGGAGGGGGAGTGTCATGTATAGTTACAGGTCATTTTCTTGACCCATCCCCACTAATGCTTCCAAAGCAATATACTGACAGGAGACATTTATTATCAAGTGTATGAACAAATTCTTTTGCATTTCATGGTTTGTTTTTTGGCCTTTTTTTGGAGGTTGGATTTTATGCTGTAGCTCAGATTGGCCTGGAACTCACTATTATAGGCCCAGTTGGCTTTTAACTTGCAGCAATCCTGATTGAACAGAGCGCTGGGATTATAAGTGTGAGCCACAGATCTAGCTATATGTACTAGGTTAAAAAATGGGAGTAGAGGACACTGATCAAGGGAATCTGAATTTTCCTCAGAATTGCTCTAAATCTTTCAAAAACTATGTTATTAAGACACGTTTTTTAGTGAGGACCGATAAAAAGAATTTTCTGGTATTAACCTAACCAAAAGAAGTTCTTCTATTTGAATCATGCTTGATTCTAGATTTCATGGTTTGGAAGAACAGAAATCATCTTATCAAAATTCAAAATCAGCCCAGTGGTGGTGGTGCTTTAATCCCAGCACTTGGGAGGTAGAGGCCAGCCTAGTCTACAAATGGAGTTCCAAGACAGCTAGGACTGTTACACAGAGAAACTCTGTCTTGAAAAATTAAAATAGCCAGGTAGTGGTGACCTACGCCTTTAACCCCAGCACTCGGGAGGCAGAAGCAGGCGGATCTCTGTGAGTTCAAGGCCAGACTGGGCTACAGAGTGAGTTCCAGGAAAGGCGCAAAGCTACACAGAGAAACCCTGTCTCGAAAAACCAAAATCAAGCTCCACTAAAAGCCCGTATTTGCATATTCTCTCCCAATCTCCTTTTGTTTTGGTAATTCAAGCAAATCCAGGACCCTGGTACATACTAGGCACTCTACCTCTGAGCTACTTTCCCACCCCTTTGCCAACTTTTCAGGTTCATGTCAAACATAGGTGTCAAAATACACATACAAATGTCAGAGTACAAACTGCAAGCTCAAAGCTTATTCATTTTCCAGCCAGAATCCTCTGTTCACAGACTTACAAATACCAGAATATTGACATTCTTGAAAACAAACTTCCAATTAGCATTTAACACTTCTTATTCTTAAAAAAAAAAAAATAATTTCAGTAGAAGCTTTGTGTCTAAGCAATTACATTTGAAACGTACTGGTGTGTATACTGGAGAATAAGAAATCAGCAACTTTTCTAAAGCTGTAACTGAGTAATAAGGTTTTGTTTGTTTTATTCTAAGTTATAAATAGCCAATTCCAAAATGCATATTCTGGTTAAGTGGTAAAGACACAGGTACTGAAGGTAACCAAAAATCTCTTCGTAGCAGAATAGTTGATACATGGTTGGTCCTACCTCTGTACCTTACCATCAGCCCTGTTTGTTTGAACTCTGAAGTACAAGAGTTTTAACTATCATTAAAAAAAAAACAAAAAAAAAAAAAAACAAACAAACAAAAACACCAGGCGGTGGTGGCGCATGCTTTTAATCCTAGTACTTGGGAGGCAGAACCAGGCTGATCTTTGCGAATTCGAGGTCAGCCTGGTCTACAGAGCGAGATCCAGAACAGGAAAGGCGCAAAGCTACACAGAGAAACCCTGTCTCAAAAAACCAATAAATAAATAAATAAATGAATAAATAAATAAATAAATAAATAGAAATAGAAATAGAAAAAAAAACAGGGCTTTTGAGAGCTCAGTGGTTAAGGACATGAACAGCTCTTGGGAGTTTGATTCCCAGCACCCACTTCAGGTGGCTCAGAACTACCTTAACCTCAGCTCAAGAGCTGATCTGACACCCCAGGCCCCACGGATGCCAGCACTCCAATACACAAACCCACACACATACACATAATTAAATCACATTCAAAAGACATGAAGAAGGCAACAAGAACACAGAAAACAAACTTTCAATTATAAGCCACTCTTGAATCATTTAGCAACTGGTCTAATTATCAACTGTTGAATTCTCTAGTATATTAAAATGAGTAACATATACATTAATAAATTCCAGATGTGTTTGGAGTTCTTTTTTTGTTTGTTTTGTTTTTAAAGAGACAAGGTTTCAGTCAGGTGGTGGTGGAGCACACCTTTAATCCCAGCACTCGGGAGGCCGATCTCTGTGAGTTTGAGGCCAGTCTGGGCTACAGAGTGAGTTCCAGGAAAAGGTGCAAAGCTACACAGAGAAACCCTGTCTCGAAAGAAAAAAAATAAAAAAGAAAAAGGTTTCTTTTTGTGTAGCCCTGGCTGTCCTGGAACTAGTTCTGTAGACCAAGCTGTACTCAGACTCAGAGATCTGCCTGATTCTGCCTCCTGAGTGCTAGGATTAAAGGCATGAGTCACCACCGCCCAGCACCACCTGGAAAAAGAGTTCACGGAAGGAAGCTGTCAAGTGTTCCCATCACGGCATTAGATGCACTAGTTTGTGTGAGTTACAAGAGCTGGGATGACAAATGTGCTTGACCATGCAGGCCTAGGGTGCATTAGTTTAATCGAGAAAATGTAAAGGAAAACCATCACTGCTTCACAGACTTCCTTTTTGTTTTTGGTTTTTTGAGACTGGGTCTCATCACATAACTCGGCTGACCTGGAACTCGTTATGTAAAGCAGGCTGGCCTCAGCTAACTGTGAGAGAGCTCACCTCTTGAGTGTTGGGATTAAAGGTGTACACCACCACACCCTGGTTCACAGACTTCTTGAACTAGCACTCACACACACAAAAATCATTGTTAATGCATTTCATGGGCAGATAATCTAAAATTTAAAAACAAAAGACCCAAACTTGTGTTTCTCAAGTATTTAGACTATGCCCTGTAGGTGGAATAGAAACATTGCACTTTGAGCAGACTGCACGGAGGGTACTAAAAGTTACTGAGGCGAAGTTCAATTCCCTCATCTTTAAACAACAAAAATTCACATTTACGTTAACAGTTTCTAGACTGCTTTGGAAGCTGCTTCTGTGAGGTTTCTAGGAACCCTTAATGGGATCAGGCTACCCCACTTCACAACTGATCTCTTGGAGCAGTTGGGAAGATAGCATGGAACACTAAAAACTGTAAAACCTCAAGTTAAGACAGGAGCACGGATCCCCACATCCCTAGTTCTCTGTAGAGAGTGAAAGAGCAACATTCACAAAGACTAAACCAATAAAAATAAACCAGCTGCAGAAATAAAAGGCTTTTAAAAGGAAGCTTATGAAACCCGAGGTGTTCTCTGACTGCAGGGTTAGAACCTTTGCAGTATATGCGTGCACAATTACAGAAAAAGCTCTCAAGGTATTTACCATGATATTACTGTGGTTCGAAGTGGGTGACTGAAATACTTTTTTAAAAAAACTTCTCTGTTTATCTGCTTTCTAAAACAAACACAAACCAGCTGATTTTCTAAACTGCCAAGGCAATTTAACTACTGGCAGATTACGCGCTCACGCGTTGAAAAGGTCCAACTGCAACAGTGACAACTCCCAGGAACCCACCTGGACTTCAAGGACACAAGCAGGAAATCCAGAAATCAGTAAAAATGGAGAGGTACCAAGCCCTAGCTGACAGCCATAACCACCTCCTTTCGCCCTGACTTCCAAGAGGGGACCCGTAGCTGTAATACCGTTTGGTAGAGGCCGAGTGAAAAAATCTCCCGTGTACCTCCCAGATCTCCAGGAGCAAATGGAGAGGAGCAGAGGGCTGGCGGGCGGCAGAAGCTCGCCCGGCATGCACGGGGGTAGGGAAGTCCGCCGCCTGCAACCCCGGGGCTGCAGCGATCCCTCTCTTCCCTCCCTGGCGGGCGCCCGCCAACAACCCCGAGCCTAAAGCAGGCCGCTCCGCCCGGGGCTCCGAGGGCCGCCTTCCCAACCCGCCGGTCCCGGCTCCCATCTTACAGGGTTTTTTGGCATCCTTGATCTTCATGGCGTCGGCCTAAGGCGCGAGGGGTAGCCTTGGGTGTAGAGCTCAGCGAAGAGCAGCGAATACTCCGGAGCTGGCTGGGCCGCGCGGCGAGGCCCGGCCGGTTCCTCCCCTCAGGCCGGGCGGGGCGGGCCTAGGGCGGGGCGGCGGTGCCTGAGGCGACGGGCGGCCCACGGGGCGGCCCCGCAACCCTGCAAGGGGCGGCGGGGACCGAGCGAGCTGGGGAAGGCCGCGGGCCTCTCCGCTCCGTGGCCCCCCGCAGCCGCTCCAAACAAAAGGCCCCGGTCCCCCGAGCCGCCGCCGCCGCCGCCGCCACAGCCGCCGCCGCCGCCGCACTGAGAACTAGCCCGCCCAGGCCCAGCGCCCACGTGACCCAAGCCCCCTCGCCCCGCTCTCCGCGAGGCTGCTAGGAGTTGTAGTTCTCCGCGGCGGGAGGCGCCACTCTCCTGCGGCAGAGGCGAAGACGGACTACACAGCCCAGGATGCCGCGCGACCCCCTTTTCTAGGCCCCCTCCGCTTCCGGAGATGGCCTCAGAGTGGTCCCAGCGGGAAGGAGGCGGGGCTTGAGTCACGCCAGCAAGGAGGCCGCCAATGGTGGCAGCTGTGGGCGGCCCCGGGCAATTCCCGGGCTCTGATCTCCCCGTCTCCGAAAGAAGAGAGGGGCTGTGAACTCTGTAGGCACTGTCATGGCTGTCGCTCAGCCTCAGCTTTTTCCCCCTGATAGTTATTGTGCCCCAAATTCAAGGGTCCAAACCACGGAGTACGTTTGTTTGGTGACCTAAAGTCATTCAAGGAAGGAACCCACTGAAGGAACACTTTGAATACTGGGGTTGGAAGGATGTCGTTGATGATGGTCACATTTACTACATGAGGATTATTTACTGCAATCCAGCGGCCTTCTAAGCCACGTGCAATTTTTTTTTCTTTTTTAGTTTTTTTTGTTTGTTTGTTTGTTTTTTTGTTTTTTGTTTTTTCGAGACAGGGTTTCTCTGTGTAGCTTTGGTGCCTGTCCTGGATCTCGCTCTGTAGCCCAGGCTGGCCTTGAACTCACAGAGATCCGCCTGGCTCTGCCTCCCGAGTGCTGGGGTTAAAGGCGTGTGCCACCACCACCCGGCCACGTGCAATTTTATGTATTGTGAAGATACAGCAGGAACTGGGTAATCAAAACACTTGAAAGCTGCAGGGCGGTGGTGGTGATGCACGCCTTTAATCCCAGCTCTGAGAGAGGCAGAGGCAGGTAGAACTCTGTGAGTTCCAGGCCAGCCTGATCTACAGAGCAGATTCCAGGACAGCCAGGGCTATGCAGAGAAGCCCTGTCTCGGGAAAAAAAAAAAAAAAAAATTAAAAGAAATAAAACAAAACTCGAAAGCACATGCTCTTTGCCGGTTCCTCACAGAATCTCTCTAGTCTGCTCCTCATTAACAAAGAGGAAAGTGACTTTCAGAGAAGAGAGTTAGACCAGTTCTTAGAACAAACCCAGGGCACCCTCTATGCCTCTTGTGGTTTGAAATCGTCCATCAGAAAGGGAAGAGATGGTATCGAGGACCTGGGCTCTCCTCCACTTTTATCTCTTAGACGGCGAAGAATTCAGAGATTGACAAGATAGGGTTTGGTTTGAGAGTAGGCATTGAAATGGTTGGAGATGTACTTCAGGTGCTTTCGGGGAGTTGGCCCTGGAAGATAGCATTCCAAGAAGCCTTTTAAAGGATGAGCTTTACTGTCCTGTCTCTGCAGATTACTATGGTTTGGGTATGGTTGCTCTAAGCCACAACTTGCATTAAGCCTTCATTTCTCAATGCAGCAGTGTGAGAAGGTGGGGTCTTCGGGAAGTGATTGAGTAATGGTGGCACCAACCCCGAGGAATGGATTAATGCCTTTCTCTAGAAACTACATTACATCTCATGGGACTGGGTTAGATCTCATGGGAGTGACTTGGGTCTGGCAGATCTGGTTTAATGATTGAGAACTGGTGGATAAAAAAGAAAGTTAGCCCTGGTATTCTTTCTGGCTTCTCCCATTCACTTGTCATCTTCCCATGGATTTCACCTACCATGAAATCAGAACATCCCTGCCTCCAAAGCTGTACGCTAACCCCCCTACCCCCCACACCCCTCACCCCTCTCAACACACACACACACACACACACACACACACACGACACCACACCATACCAGATCTCAAGTATGTTGATATAAGCAACACAAGGCAGATTGAAACAGTTGATAAAGCAAGTGTCAAGAGTAACTGGAGGCACCAACGCCTCCTGAGTGGGGCTTAAATTTAGCAGGGTCTCTTGGGCAGCCTAATGACAGTCATCAGTGGAGCTAAAGACCCATCCACCAAAGTGAATTTCTCTTTGCAAAGGGGCTGTCCTGTTTCTTAGAACCCCCACTCCTGAGGGCAGTTCCAGTGCCCTGATTTCCCCTAGTTGTGAGAAGCACTAAACAACGTTAAAGGCCCAGGATTTCAAGTTTGAGTTCATATAGAGAGGTTTTTCAAGACAAGGCTCCTCTGTGTAGCCCTGGCTATCCTGGAACTCATTCTGTAGACCAGTATGGCCTCAAACTCAGAGATTCTCCTGCCTCTGCCTCCCAGGGATTAAAGGCGTGTACCACCACTGCCCCTCAGGTTAATTTGTTTTTAATAAAGGATACTTGTTTTCTGCCTTTGTTCATATCCAAGGACTGTTTTTTTGAAACAAATTTGTGTGGTACCCAGTTTTGATGGGAATAACCCCTGACAAGAAAATCTATTGGGTTCCCTTAGCCCTGAAAATTCCTGATTTAAAAAAGCTTTGCTTGAGCCTGGCTGTGGTGGCACACGCCTTTAATCCCAGCACTCAGGAGGCAGAGGCAGGTAGATCTCTGTGAGTTCAAGGCCAGGCTGGTCTACAAAGTGAGTTCCAGGACAGTGAGTAAAAGGCTTTGCTTGCTGGATATGGTGATGCATCCCTTTAATCCCAGCACTTGGGAGGCAGAGGCAGGCAGATCTCTGTGAGGGCCAGCCTGGTCTACAGAGTGACTTCTCGGACAGCCAGGGCTACACAGAGAGACCTGTGTCAAAAGACAAACAACAATAAAAAAGTTTTGCTTTATATGTAACAGTAAGACAAGACAATACTGGGAGTCTTTCTTCTTTTGCCATTATCATATTTATTTATTTTGTTGGTGTTTTACTTGCTTGTATGTTTGTTTGTTTTAAAGATCTATTTATTTATTATGTATACAGTATTTTGCCTGCATTATGTCTACACACCAGAAGAGGGCACCAGATCTCATTACAGATGGTTGTGAGCCACCATGTGGGTGCTGGAAATTGAACTCGGGACCTCTGGAAGAGCAGCCAGTGCTCTTCTTAACCTCTAAGCCATCTCTCCAGCCCTTGCTTGTATGTTTGTGTGAGGGTGTCGGATCCCCTGGAACTAGAGTTACAGACAGTGGTGATCTGCCTTGTAGGTGCTGGGAATTGAACCCGGGTCCTCTGGAAGAGTAGCCAGTGCTCTTAATCACTGAGCCATCAGCCCCCTGTTTTGTTGTTGTTGTTTGTTTGTTTTTCAAGATAGGGTTTCTCTGTGTATCCCTGGCTATCCTGGAACTAGCTCTGTAGACCAGGCTGGCCTCAAATTTACAGAAATCTGCCTGCCTCAGCCTCCCTAGTGCCGGGATTAAAGGTGTGTGCCACCAACTCCCAGCAACACTGGGAGTCTTTAGCTGAAAGACACACCCAGCCTGAGATAGCCAGGATGCTTAGATGTGGTAATTAGTAGCTCACAGTTGTGCAGGATGGAGGCTACAGACCTGGCGCTGAAACCTCTTTCCCAGAATTAAGTGTAAGTCCATCTCATTCAGAAACCAGGAAGAAATGGGCCCCTTGATGAACACATAGATTCTGTTGTCCCAAATTAAAAAAAAAAAATTTTGAAAGTTAAATTAAGAACTTCAAGAGGACCAGTGGGATGACTCAGTGGGCAGGGCTGATGGCCCAAGTTTAATCCTGAGGCCCACAAGGTAGAAGGAGGGAAGTAACTCCCACAGGTTGTCTGTCCCACTGTGACACAAACATGTCCCCCCAACAAACACCCACACAAAATAAATAAGTAAATACGTGTGAGTTTTTTGTTTGTTTGTGATTTTAAAGAAACTTCATGAGTCATGTCACTTGGGGAAAGACACCAACGCTAGCTATTCTAGTCAGTTATGTCTTTGGAGAAGGAAAAAAAGGACTATAAAGTTCAGGATCCAAAGAGTTGTAAAGGTCTGTTCAGGCTCTGTAATAAGTCGGGAGATAAAATTAAGCCACCACCATTCCTTAGCCTAAAGTGAATTCAGGACAGGCACGTTCCAAAGAAATGACTGCCAATTAGATCTTACTCAGATACTCCTCTTGGTAGGATATATTTTCTGATGTTTGCTCATCCTTCCCAGAATAGATAAAAGTCTTTCATACCCTGACCAGAGGAACTCAAGAAGTCATTCTCTAGAATAAAATTTCTTCACAGCCTCAGAAACACATTAGAGGACCAGGCGCTGTGGTCCACGCCTTTAATCCCTGCACTCTAAAGGCGGAGACTGGTAGATTTGTGCGAGTCTGGCCATTTTAGGCCACACTGTGAAACCTTGTTTCAAACGAAAACGAAAGAAAGACAGAAACAATGAAACATCTGCAAAACCTGTGTTCGCCTTTAGGTTTCTTAGCAACCCTTTCAGGATAATAGCTTCAGGTGATGGGAAGAAGGATGGACGGGAGGAGCATGTCTGACGCTGGCCTCCAGCCTAATCCAGGTTCAAGGACAGATCTTGTCTCACAGGAAGAAGGAAGAGAACCCATGACATCTGTGGCCATCTACGACACAAGCACCCGTGCAAAGAAGCCCTAACTCGAATTCAAATTTTGTTCTCACCACTAGGTAATTGTCTGGGTCCAAAGGAAACTCCAATTCCCCAAACTCCAAAAGGCACTCCAAATATCCAGAAATGAGCTCAACCTGGACCTAGGAGGCTAGCTGGAGGTTAGATAAAAGCCAGCATTCCTCAAGAACTTGTGAGGCCAGTTCTGTCTACCATAGGAGTCATTTCTCTTACCTAGGGCAAAGGGACGTATGACTCTCAGATAATATATACCTGTGGCGCCAATCAGCATGTCAAGGTCCATGCTGGCCCCCAGGCTCCCTCAGTCCCTACTTACAAGCACTTGGTATAGTTTCAGTGTCCCCCAAGGCCAGTCTCCTGATCCTTCTTTCTCTCCAGCTAGTCACCCTTCCCATAACCCAGTTTCTCTCCCTACTCCTCTGCTCCTGCTGTTCTTACTCTGCTTTCTCTAGTCTCTGTCTCCTGCTGTTCCCCTCTCTCACGGAGAGCCCTGGCCTTG